AACACATTTCCCTTTTTTTTTTTTTAATTTTTTTTAATATATTTCCCTTTTTGTGTTTTTTTTTTTTTTTTTTTTTTGCTGTTTTCTTAGACTTTTAGCTCCTGCTTTCCACCCCAGAGTATGTTAGGTCACTTGTTTTTTCTTGTTTTTTTCCCCCTTTACATCTTTCTTTTTTCAAAACTGTGTGGTTTTTTTTTTTTTTTTTTTTTTTTTTTGCTTTGCTTTGTTAGCTTGACCTCATTCCACTTTTCCCCCCCGAAGGCAGCCAAACGAGGGGTTCGCCGAGCACAGCTTGCTCACTGCGAATGAGGAAAGGCTGGGGTGGAATTAAAAGCCTGTCTCATGGCCGCGATCATGAATGGAGCAGCCATGCGTGCGCTTCATCCGAGACGACTCGAGTAAGGTCCCTCACACCCCCAAAACCACCCTGATGCTGCGGCAGATCGGATCTCGGCAAAAGGCGGCCGAGGCTTTTTGTACATAATGTTCACACTCCCCCAATGTTTGGACGCCGTCTCCCTAAGATCCACGCTCGCTGGCGTGTTATTCTCCTCCGTTTGCATACGCTTATCTTCATCCACTTCTTATTCTGCTTGAGAAGAGTCTTAGTGATAGGGAGAAGTAATTGTTGTGGTTTGCACAAAGTGGATTTTTGGGGCTCAGCTTTACAGCCTAGAGATGACATCTAAGCCATACTTTAGAGAACAAAAGCATATATTTAGATAATCTCTTCTTGCACATTCCTTCTTTTATGTTGTCTGCCAAGCAGCTGTGATGCAACCCCCCTCCCAAAACGAACACGTCGTCTCCCCCTACCAAATGCTACAAAAATATGGATCTTTCCCATAAATTGTGGGCTGCTGGACCTTAAACACAACAAGAGCATGAGTGGGGATCCAGCTTGCGTCGGAGATGATTGTAAGCACACAAAGTGTGGCGAGTCGGTGATCTGTGTTCTTTCAGGGAGGCATCCAGCAATCAGGAAGCTCGACAGACCCCTCCACCCCCTTCTCTTAACCCACTAAAATTCTTACTGCATCATTAGTTCTTCTACCATAATCAATGAATTATTTATTACTGTTTTTCTGTAACTTATGTGGATACCTGTGTTGTTGTGATCTTCTCCAACTGTTGTGTTCTGACGTGAAGGCATGTACAATCCATATTTGTATGTTTAAGACAATAAATTTTCCTTCTGTATACTGACATTCTGATCTCGAGTACGTTGTTGGGACTTTACAGAAAGATTTCGATCCATATAAACTAAAAGAACTAAAACATGAAGGATGCCAGCCCTTGAGGACTGACTTTGGGCACCACTGTTCTAGACACACAAACTACTTTGATGAAAGTGGACTAACCAGGGCTGGTGTTAATGCACCCCTACAATAGTCATGAAATATATTACTTTCTATTTCAAACTCTATATTTGAATCCATTTCTTTTGCTTTCACCTGGACAAACGTAAAACGTGCAAACTGTAGTGGTAGATCTTCAAAACTAGTTTACTTGCTTAAAAGAGATCTCTTGGACTGGACCCCTGAAGAAGATGCTGGTCTGAGTCGCCCTCATCCCAACCCCAAGAGGAGTTACTTTCAATTTGGTCTCCTCTGGGTGCTGTTCCAGTTGAAGCGCGTTTATGAACGACACCACGTAACTTGCTTTTCTCATTACCGAGCTGGAATTGAAGAATTTGGAGCACTCAATTATTCACAAGGTAAATGGGACGTTGAGTCTTTGCGTATCACCTTGACCAGTTTGTTTAAAATTACACATTGTAAAACACATCTGTATTTGCTCTGAATATGACATGATGGCATTGTTGCAAAGATAAGGAGTTACAAAGCTGAAATGGTGAATAGAGAAAGATGAAAAATTTGAAAAAATGCATTCCTCTGTTGGTTTATACGGTTTCGAACACCTGCACAAGTACCCCCAACTACCAGTTAGGTTTATTTTTGGCAAGACTTAAAAATGTTTCATA